CCCCCCCCCCAATTTGGTTTTGTCAGGGGACTCAACTGAAGCCAGTTTATGATGCTCCGAACGTGGGCTGTCGACTAGTTTTCAGCAACCTTGTCAGTTTCGTTACGTCTAATGCTATTTCCTTTGGATAGCTTTCCATTGCGGATGTTTCTCGTTTTTTCTTTTTCCTCACCTCTGTCGGTTTCCCAACATTTATCCAGGTGTAGTGTAAACCAGTGGATGTGCTTTTTCCCATCCGCGAACCTCCGTGACTGAATTTCAGACTGATAGCAATGCAAATATGACGATACTAAAGATCATGGGCGTTTGCCCTAGAAGTAGGGTTTTGGTTGCCTAACAGATTCGTTTCATTCCTGTGTACTTTGCTGAATTACAACTTTCAAGTGTCAGTCTGTTCAACTGCTGTCTGTAACTCCGACCTCCGCCGCCGTATGAGCTGTTTTGCGGAGCGCAGGTCTCCTGACCAATCACAACGACAGAAACGTACAATTCTCACCAGTCACGTGACTTTCATGAACGGATTCCGTAAATCCCGTGATTACCTGCAACGAATGAAAAACTGTCAATTAGGTCTGAAGACGCCCGTGATGCTATCTAACTGGGAAGTCTTGGCAATCGATTGGCAGAATCAGGGCAGCTACTGGGTCGTCGTTCGCCTGTTGAGAGATGATAATTCAGGTGGGCCGTGTGTGCGCCGGTGGAGTAGTGGTAACACGCTCTCCTGGCATGCCAGATGTGCGGAGTTCAAACCCCGTCTCAGCCAACGATATGCACCACGGATGAACTCTGATGAGAGCGGAGCCCGAGTCGAGTGCTTCTCCCCTCCTTGGCGTGAGCTCACCAGAATAATTACACCAGGACAGGAAGACGATTGTTCAAACGCGAATGGTGTGAGCGTAAAATCCACCTTGAGGCGTACAACTTCGCCTAGCTAACGTCATGGCTTCATAGGGCCTTTCTTTCACCTGAAAAAAACACCGCCTGAACATTGAATGCATCTCACCGTCGATAATATTTCCATATTATTCCACTTGCCGATTTCGTACTCATTCAGGGGGGGCGAGATGACCCAAGTGGTTAGAGCGCGAATTCACTGACCGGAAGGTCCGTGGTTCGAACCCGACCTCTACCTTTCGAGTTCTCCTGTCTAGGCTTGGGCGACCTGGCAGTATTCCAGCCCTCTTGGAACCTTCAGGTGGCATGGCAGTTAGGCACCGAAAGGGCGCTACAGCTGGACAATTTCAATATGAATTTGAACTACGTGAGCTAAAATAAGCGATGTACCGTGGCTGTTATGTGCGTTTGCGAGTTCAAGAACGCTTTCTACAACCCAGGCTGCACACGCCACTACAGATATCGAATGCTGACGCATCCAGCCAAACAAGGTGAAATCCTTGGTGTTGAAGTGGATATGCCCCCAGGAAACCTCTGTTCCGTTACGCCAGTTGCTCCACTGCTGATGATGGATCGATAAAACAATTGTTGTTCCCAAAGTCGGTCAACTTGACAACCCACCAAGACTCCCTCCAAGGTCATGCACACCTATTTTGTGGAACGTTTTACTCCTTGCATTTCAACCTCTCCGGTGAGTGTCTCCATACATCGCGAGACACGTAGATTTTCCATGGATGAGTTGGTTTCTCTCCAACGCATATGCACTTTTGAAGGCTTTAGACATCAGAACGTGTCTAACTTGGGGTTTCTAGCAATGCCTCTGATTCAATCGATCAAAAACCCCAGCCGTGCAAAAAAAATCCAAGAAGGCTGACCAAGACTCGGGAGTGGCGCTGCTGAGGGAGCCGTTTTATCACCGTTTCTATTCAATTTTTACAAGATTTTGTCTAAGCTTGGGCAACCTGTCAGTATCCCATCCCTCATGCTTCCTTCTTGTGGCAGCTAGGCGCCGAAAGGGTGCTACAGCTGAACGATTTCTTTCATCGTTGAGTTGACCTGTTGTGAATCTAACTTCCAGAGATACACTTTATGTTCAATACAAGGGGGAATTTCCCAACCCAGTCTCTTCAGGGGTTGGTTGTGAATCTAACTTCCAGAGATACACTTTATGTTCAATACAAGGGGGAATTTCCCAACCCAGTCTCTTCAGCAATGGGGTTTGGCCGGTGCTACAGCTGAACGATTTCTTTCATCCAGCAGTTGACCTGTTGTGAATCTAACTTCCAGAGATACACTTTATGTTCAATACAAGGGGGAATTTCCCAACCCAGTCTCTTCAGCAATGGGGTTGGTTTGGCCGGGGTCAAGAGACTCTGAATGCACCATGTATGCCCTTTTCTATCAACCTATATTGCTTTTCCGTTCCACTCCGTTTTCAGCTTTTGTCGGCTATCGAATCCATGACTCAGTTGCATGCGCGGGCCGCGCATCGCCGAGCCAGTTCACGTCACAATGGGACTACGGGTGACGGTGGCTCGACGGACGATGATGCTGATGACGACGATGATTCGGGCATTCTCGGATCGTTCCTCTTCTTCCGTCGTCCCCGGCGAGCCGCAGAACAAAGCGAAGAGACGTTCGCCACGCGAGATCGTGAGGGTTCCGCGAATGGCACATCAAGCAATTCCTCCTGGGTCAGTACTCAAGAGACCAGCAATGAATCCAGAGTGACCCGTTCGTCATCCTCTTCTTCCAGTTCTACCGCAACATCTACTTCTTCCTCGTCCTCCTCCTCATCCTCCACGTCCTCTTCAGCGTTCGTCATCCTCTTCTTCCAGTTCTACCTCAACATCTACTTCTTCCTCGTCCTCCTCATCCTCCACGTCCTCTTCAAGTTCACCGAGCACTGCGGTTGGAGAAGATTCGTCTTCGTCAGCCGATTCCCACTCCGAAGACAGAGTGCTTGTCGAGCTGCTCAATCTGGAGTCGGCGGCGACGTTAACATCTGAACCCAATTCCACGGGTGGAAAACACAAGAGGCCTTCGGAAGATGTCGACGATTTGGATGATGTAGACTGATACGGCCCCTATCACCACCCCGACGTTATCTCATGTACATCGTTTCTACACCCCCCCACACACTCTCCATCCCTCGCGTTGACACACACGGTGCGTTCACCGTCCAATGTCCATCTCGGTTTGTGCGTGCGTGCGTGTACTATTTATTCACACACTCTCCATCAACACTTCCGCGTAATCTCATGCACTGCTGTTAGCTGCGTGATGCTCTGTGCGCATTTCATCACTCTCCAGTCATTCAGACCCCGTAGCCTGTGATCTCCGGTCCATACAATCCAATTGTAGACACCGTCTGTTCATTGTGGTTCTCTCAGTTATTCCCCGTTTGAGAGAGGGTTTCCGGCATTGTTGTTATTCGTCTGCCTTCGGAACACCCGTTTGACCCCATGCCCTTCTTTTCGACATATTTGGGGCTCGGCCAGGCAAAGGGGCTTGCCCTCAGTTTTGAGTGGAGAGATTCTGAATTTTCAGTTGGTATTTCACCCCCTGTGAGTGTAGTCAGTCCGTCCGTCCATGCCTTTGTCGAACTGACAGGCTGATGTCCATTGGCGCAGGCGAAATATGGGTAAAGACAGCTTCGCCTCCCCATACAAGGGACGAGCAGTTCTCAGCAACCTTGTGAGTAGTGTTACGTTTGCGAAATATCCTCAGTTTCATCAGCACAACTAGTAGGAGAGCTTGATGCCACTTGGTTCCTTTGCGTCCTTCTGGAGATGTGTACGCCGTAGGTGGTTTCTTTCCGATTGGGACGCTACAGATGGATCTGTTCATATTTCGAGCCTGCACGACAGCTAATTTGTCGACAAGAGCAGTCGATGTGCTGGGGTAGGGGTTGGAGCCACGGACCTTCTGTTTAGTAGGTTCGCGTCCTAACCACTGGACTATCTCGAGCTCAAGACTGTACTTTCACGCTGAGAGTCGAACCCGAGCTGCCTGAAAGAGACCCAGGCTAGACCACGCGGGACGTCTGCCTGACAAGATAGGGTTGTACACAGAAATGGACTTGATCTGATCGCGGCCAACTGTTCAGCGGTAATACCCTTTTGGTACTTAGCTGCCATGTCTCCCGGAAGGAATCATGAGGGCTGGGATACTGCCAGGTTGCCCATGCCTAGACAGGAGAAGTTGAGATGCAGAAGTCGGGTTCGAACCACCAACTGTTCGCCCTGAGCTGTGTCCACATTGAACAAAGAGAGAACTTCGGACCCTGGCTCATGCTGTGGACGACACGATAGAGCGGGAACCGAACGCAAACTTACTGTTCGTGCGTATTAGGTTTCCCAATGCGGGAGAGGAGCATTTCAAAGGGGTATCCACAGGGTTTGTGTCCAGTCTTTACACCGCCGTTCATTTAGGTCGATTTCTCAAAACCAAGTGTCAAAATTTGTATGGCCCTTCATTGGTTCACACCATACTTAACTTTTTAAGGGGAAATGTTTTCTCCCGAGCTGTGTAGTGACTTTCGGATGCGAGGGCCAATCAGAATGGACTAGGCTTTATTTGAACTCCCACTAAAACCTCTGTTGAACAGGTGTAATACCGTGTTTTTAGCTTGAATCAATTCATGCGAAACCGATGATCGTCATCATCGACAGCATGACATCCGTGTTCAACACCGATGCTTCACTGCCGTACTGGTTGTACGTGGGCTGGGAAACTGCCATGGCGCCCACACCTAGACAGGAGGACGATTAGGGTCCTCAACCTAAGCCTCTCGCTCAAAAGCCCGACCGCAAGGCAGCGGTGTTTAGCGGCCCCAACTCCAAGTTGGGGGTTGGAACATGTGGCAACTTGTTCCGTAGAAATGGTAATGTATTTGAATTTCCCGCCAAACACCACTGCCTTGCGGTTAGGCTTTTGGTGATGACCCTAACCGTCCTCCTGTCTAGGTGTGGGCGCCCTGGCAGTATCCCAGCCCACGTACAGGTTGTGAAGCATCGGTGTTGAACACTGATGTCATCCTGTCGATGATGATGATACAAGACTGGAACTGACTTGCTGTCGGTCTAGGTTCCAGGCGGGACAGGGGTTTTGTCACGTGATGTGTGTGTTTGCAGAACAAAGAAGTCGCGTGATCTAGTGAGCACGGAGTTGGTCAACGCATCAATGAAACGCGTTCTTTTGCTCTTTGCGGTCAGCAACAACACTTCCTTTTCTTGACTTATGATAGGGATGTCTTGGAGAGAGGTGACCCGTAAAGCTTCGTGTAGCTGTCGAACATTCGAGAAACCATTTACCCATGTCGACTTCGTGCTGTCCAGTAATGGGGATCTTGGTGTTCGTCGTGCCGTGATGGTTGGTGAATGGCTGATCATTACCGTTAAGGTGCTGATTCAACGTTCCAATGGTCAGCGCTCCCTGTTGATCAGCGGTCATGCAACCACACCAGCGTATTGATCAGCGCAACGTAGCGCACAGCTGCGGGAACTCTCGAACTTTTACGTCGAATTTACGAGCCGCAAGCCTGAAAAGGTCAACAAGAAAAGGTACAGCCAAGCGGTACCACCATCCCAGCAGTGGACGCTATGTAGGTAAAAGCTTGAGAACCAAGACATCGAGTCCAGTTCCGGACATGAACTTTCAGTGTTCCAGGAGCGCCGGTTTAATATATAAACTTAAATGCATATGTATTGACCTCACATCATTTCGCCATCTGTTTGTTGCACAAAATTTCGCAGCGTCAGTGCTGTTGTGTGCACAAACTCATTAAAAGTTGATGATGAAATTCGGCTAGGCCACGAAGACATTGTTTTTATGAAATCCAGTTCAGACAGGTTGAGAATGTACAGCCATCTGAAGTTTTAAATTCACGAAAAACTTTAGCGTCACGCGTTATCAGACATAACAAGACCAGTCTACACGACTTAACACAACTGCGTTTGCAGACGTATTTCCTGGCAGATTGTATTGTCAAACCTTGATTCTACTGATCAAGAATATCAGCCGATCGAATGGTACCAGCAGCATGGCGTGGTCGCAAAAGCTTTCAGTTTCTCAAGTACTCGTGTCTACTAACACCTGACAAGTAGTTAAATTCGCACTTCAAATTTTTCGGGTGCACGGTGTAGTGTTATCGGCAAACGGAGTCTGGTAAAACTACACCTCCCTTCATCCCCTCGAACTTGGCGGCGAAGCTACCCGAATTGTTCTGGTACCATTCAGACTTGACCGATGCGCGTGGAGTCGAGGAGGATAAATTACCTCTTTAAAAGTAAGCATGTCTATTCATTCGGTGTTTGTCTCTACGCCTGACCGTTGTGGCATTAGGAAACTGATGCAGTTACCGACCAGTGCGACACTAGAACTCCGCAATAATCCGTTTCTAAATGCTTATTTAATCTAGGGGAAATCTCGATACAGGAGATCGCACCAGATCCGACCAGGGCATGTTCACTTTTCGGAGTCGCTAGCTCCAGTGTTTGCGGAAGTCCCGCACAGTTTGGCTTATCGACCTCTTTTTGCACAGTCTACACGACTTAACACAACTGCGTTTGCAGACGTATTTCCTGGCAGATTGTATTGTCAAACCTTGATTCTACTGATCAAGAATATCAGCCGATCGAATGGTACCAGCAGCATGGCGTGGTCGCAAAAGCTTTCAGTTTCTCAAGTACTCGTGTCTACTAACACCTGACAAGTAGTTAAATTCGCACTTCAAATTTTTCGGGTGCACGGTGTAGTGTTATCGGCAAACGGAGTCTGGTAAAACTACACCTCCCTTCATCCCCTCGAAATTGGCGGCGAAGCTACCCGAATTGTTCTGGTACCATTCAGACTTGACCGATGCGCGTGGAGTCGAAGAGGATAAATTATCTCTTTAAAAGTAAACATGTCTATTCATTCGGTGTTTGTCTCTACGCCTGACCGTTGTGGCATTAGGAAACTGATGCAGTTACCGACCAGTGCGACACTAGAACTCCGCAATAATCCGTTTCTAAATGCTTATTTAATCTAGGGGAAATCTCGATACAGGAGATCGCACCAGATCCGACCAGGGCATGTTCACTTTTCGGAATCGCTAGCTCCAGTGTTTGCGGAAGTCCCACACAGTTTGGTTTATCGACCTCTTTTTGCAAGCTTCAGTGAAGCACCTTCAGCACACCTTCTCTTGAATCCGTTCTTGCACTGCAGTCTATCATTTACAGTTTTCGATTCTGCATGGCGTTCCTCCGTTCGACGGTTGTACTTTTCACTGGCAACCAACCGTGTAGCAGAACCATATTTCGTTGGCGACACCACGATCTTCTTCAGAGGCGTGATTGTAACATATTGTCCCCCCCAACACCGAACCTTTTGGATCGGATAATGGAGTTCGCTAGTTGAAGCCACTGTTCTTCAGAGGCATTCGAATCTTGCCTGTATGTGCATCGCCCACGACCTCCCGGCTAGTAGTAGTTTGAGCACTTAGTTGTTCTCATCGCTGCTCTGTCATCGTGTACCTGTATGCTGCTTGCCAAACTCTTGGCAACTTCATTTTTGATAGAACTGATGCAATTGAGACAGTCTCATCTGCCCTGATCTATGTCTCCGATTACTTTCAAAGCCATTAGGAATACACCTTCATACTGGGTTCGGTTGCTACTGGTGACGAATCGTGTCTGACGTTTCTGATGAACTCAGAGTTGCCAAATGCTTTCATCTGTGTTCGAATCGGGTGTCGTCCGGAAAGTTGAATCTCTCGTTTCTAAGCGAGAAACGGTCGTGTTATGAGTAGTATAGTACGTCTGAACTCATGGGGAAGTTCACCCACAAAGGGTAGGAGCACATATGGATTGATGGTTAGCGAAAAAAATTAGCGTAACGGTAACCAAAAAACAGACACAGGAGGCGTAGTCGAGCAGGATGCCCGTTGTTGGACTTCCGTACGTGCATCACTGCTCTGGAAGCTGCCAGAGAGTGAAGGTATCACAGACACCCGTGATCTGGACGAAATCATGTTTGGATCTCCGTGAAAGAAAGAGTGCTCTTCAATGCTATGCTGTCTATTGGCCAACAACGAA